GTGAGCAGCTGGTGTCTGGCCAGGTGTTTGTTGCCATCAAGAGACAAGCTGGATTCTACAGGTGCTGGTGCTGGCAGGGGCCCAGCAGAAGACAGGATCTTCAGAGGATGCTGCCAGCTCTAAGGTCTGCTCAGCCTGCAAGGCTGACCCAGCCCGGGACAGAAGGCCCAGGCGAGGCGGAGGGATCCTTTGCTATGATGTCTCTTTAATACCCAGTGGTAGAGTCCCTTTAACACCAGATGCCAGGCACAGAAGGCCCTCAAGTATTAGCATAAACAGGAGGATACGAACTCTGAGAATGCAGATGGCCGGGACTGGGACTTCCTCCAGACTTGATGGAGAAGAGCAGAGTTGACTAAACTAGTACCCTGAAGAACTCTGTTGCTACGGAGGTCACTAGAAAGTTCTGTGGGAAAGACTGGGTGAAACGAACAAACAGGTGTCTTTACTCTGGGTCTTCCCAGAGCCCAAGGTCTGCTCAGATACACTGTGAATATTTAAGATGAGGACATAGCATGCAGCATTTCCTGAACTTTGTCACTCATGGCAACCTTGGTCTGGGAGATTTTATCAATAGCTCATGGGACTAGTGCTTCACAGAACCCAGTTTTTGAAAATGCCTGCCAAACTTTCCCATGTTGCCCGCTTCTGCTCCACAGTGCAAACCCACCTAGACTCTCCACCAGGACCTGCACATTCCTGCCTCCACGTGCTGCCTAATGCAGTACTTGCCCCAAAGGCCCTTTGTCTGCCCTCCCTTTCTGCATTCTGTCACTCAGCCACGTCTGACTCTCTGCAACCCCATGGACTGTGTGTAGCCCATCGGGCTCCTCTGTCCGTGGTCCGTCTTTAGTCCCATCTGCCCCACCAAGTTTTCCGTAAGCCTCCAGGGGACTCAACTGCTTGCTGCTTTAGTCTCTGAAAATGGACTGTAGTTGACTTGGGTTATTTCTTTGCATCCTGGAAGCATAGCCCAGGGCTGGGCAAGTAGTGCTCCTGGAGTTTGATTAGTTAAGGCCCTGCCAGGTGTGCAGCGTAGCTATACCTGTGGGCAGGTGTGAGCCTCACCTCCAGGTGAGCAGGTTTAAAGCAGCCAATCGGGAAAGAAATTCCTCCACCTCTGGAGCTTCACTTCCTTCCTCTGCGGCTTACTGGGGCGAGGGGGGGAGCATGGACCAGAGGGGAGGGAACCGGCTGAACTGTTTACATGTTCTCTTCCTCTGAAGGGAAACCAGGGGCATTTTCTTATTTAATTATTAATGCCCCGAATCAGATAGTTCCCACTGTGTTAACCTCTGTCACTCCGAATGGAGTCAGCCTAATAACCACCAAGGCAGGATTGATTTTCCCTCAGTCGTCTCATAAGCATCTGTCTGTGGGATCTGTCCTCAGAGAGAGAGCCTGGGGAAGCCCCATTAAAGTTAATGGCGATGAGTTGCCCCCACGTGGGGACGGCTCCTTTGTGGCCGCTCTTCACTCCACCTCAGTGAAGTAAGTGGCTGAGACAAGTAGGAACACGTTTTCTCAAATCAGTTCCCAAAAGGAACTGACTGGCAACAGCCTAGGACTTGACCTGCGTTTCAAAGCATTTACGGACACGTCGGAAAGATGAAGTCAGCACGCTGGCAAAGATGTCAGGGCGAGATGGGAGGTGATGAGCGCTGGACCGTGTGGCCAGTCTGTGAGCTAGATGAGTGCAGCGTGCCTGGTCTGCTGTCGGTGCCAAGCCGTGCAGAGGGGAGGGTGCCTGGGCGTGGATGGTGTTTGGATGTGCAGAACTGAGGAGGAAGGGCGTTGAGGGCAGGGGAGCAGGGTGAGCAAGGCTCAGGGGTGAGAAAAAACCAAAAGTGAGGCCAGTGTCACACTGGGCAGGAGGGAAGGGAGGCAAGGTCGCATCTTTCAGACTGGCCATGTTCAAAGAGAAAGCCTGAGGGCTGCGGGGGTCCTAGAGGAGTCACCTCTTGTACCCGCAGGGTGGCGTCTTTCCCCCCAACCACACCATCACAGAGGCAGACTTGGCCTCAGACGGGGAACTTTGTGAGTACTGGAGACGGGCTGTCGGAGGCTTGGGTGTGAGTCCTGGGGCGCACCCTCCGCTCTGTGGCCTTGGCGCACTCGGATAGCTGAGGAGTGAGGCCTCCGAACCCCAGGGTGAATGCCCCTGGCTGGCCCCGTCCTGTGGCTTCCACTTCCGCCTCCTGTGTGCCTCTCCCGACACCTGTCACCCTCTCTGTGCCCTGGGTCCAGCTATCCCAGTGGGAATCAGCCAAACTGTCCCATCCAGATTTGACTCAGAGGGAAAGGCTTTCACAAAGATTTAAACAGATCTCCTCAATTATAGCCACGATCCAAGTTACCTCCATTTGCCACCCCTCTCCTGCCAGCGTGGATCAAAAGCATCCAGAGCACGATCTCCACTAGGCCAGGTGGCCTCACCCTTTGATATTCTAAGCTTCATAAATTTGAAGATGCAGCTGGGGGTGGGGTAGGGCGGGCTAGGGTGGGGGAAAGCCCTCTCAGGAAAACACTCTAGATTACAGGATGGGCCTGGCTCAGATGGTAAAGAATCTGCCTGCAGTGCGGGAAACCCAGGTTCAGTCCCTGGGTTGGGAAGATCCCTTGGAGAAGGGAATGGCTACTCACTCCAAGAGTCTTGCTTGGAGAATTCCATGGACAGAGGAGCCTGGCGGGCTACAGTCCAATGGGTTCCAAGAAGTCAGACACGCTGAGCGACTAACACACGGGCTCAGCCAAAGTAATGAGACAGGGACTTCTCTGGTGGTCCAGGGGCTAAGACCCTGACCTCCCAGTGCAGGGGGTCCGGCCAGGGAGATAGATCCCACATGCCCACAGCAAAGATCGAAGATCCCTCATGCTGCCACTGAGACCTAGCATAGCCAAATAAATAAAAGTTAAAAAAACCCACAACCGAGTAAGGAGACAAGGCCCTGGAGAGAATCAAGGCCAGGCATTCTCTGCCGTTGGTGGTCAGACTCTGTGTGCCTGTCTGGATGGCTTTTGTTTCTTTATCTGGTGCCTGATCAGCCCAACCTGCACCTGGAAGAAGATGCCCATCCCCCAAACTCAATGCCTGTCTTGGGCGGTTCCTTCTCTTCCCAAAGGTGAAGGTCTCACCTTCTCTGGGAGGAGAATGGGTTGCAACGCCCGGCAGCCCTAGCACTGTGGGGCCCCGAGCTGTCTGTCCAGGTGCTGATGGAGTTGGCAGGGTGAGCCGGTGACTCCTGGACCCTGCGAATTGTGCAAATTCACTTTTCTCTTTCTTAGCTGATTTTCAGAATCCATTTACCCAGATTATTGCCAGATCTCAAACAGAGAGAAAAGCCTCATTAATCATCAATTGGACCCCCGTGGTTACATAGAATTTGTGACAATTTGTTTATCTTTGAAGGAGCTGCTGAGAAAGAGTTTAACAAGGAAAGTATTGGGGCAGGGGAGGAGAGAGTTTAACCTTTCACGAAGGCAGGAGCTCCATTTGGCTCCCCTCTGAGCACAGCCTGGGGGCGTGTGCAGCATCCGTGCCACTCTTCACTGCCCCCAAGAAGGCTGAGCGCCTCCTCGTCGGTAAACTCTGGGCCAGCGGACTAGAAATCCTCAAGTATTTCAAGCCTGGGGAACCCTTTTCAGTGTCAAAATATTTTCTATACCATCCCTGCCCCCATTTGTTAGAAGCTGCTTTTTTTTTTTTAATGTGGCTGATTGAGAATAAAAGCTCCTCTGAATTCGGTAAAGCTTTTAAGCAAATCACAGTCACATCTATGAACACATGAAATATAGCGCTGTCTCTCCGAGTCACAATGCTCTTTCAGTCTGTAGCTGACGTTGGAGCACATATGGATTGCAGGTCCCCTGGAGGTAGCTCTGGGCCCCCCTGCACCCCCCTAGGGTGGGAAACCTCGGCCAGTTCTCTAAGGCTGTGCAACCATGGAGTCCTGGACAGGAGGGAGCCTCGGGGGTCATTTCTGCCCCTCCCAACTTAATGGTTCTCTGCCTCTATGAGGAGCCCTCTGTTGGGGAATCCTCAGTTCCAGGGACCCCAGGGGGTTGGCATCTGTGTAGGCCCACTTAACACCTGTCTCAGGCTGTCACTTCAGGGGCTGGGATCAACTCTACAAGCTGCTTCCTCAAAGCCCCTTACCAGGCTGTCCAAGCCTTTCATCTGCCCGTGGGTATGATGTGCAGAGACATATCACCCTGAGTGCCAGTAGGTGATAGCCCATGGGAGCAAGAGAAACAAGGGCCAGCCTTCTGGGCAACTTGTTTGACCAGAGCTGCTAAGAAGGATTTTCTCAGCTTAGCTGTCCCCAGGGCCACACCAGATATCTTTCTTCTCTGTCTTCACTGAAGGAAGGAGTTGAGAGAGGAAGTGAATGGGCAAAGCGTAGCAAAGATGAGGGACTTTCCTGGCGGTCCGGTGGCTAGGACTCTCCACTCCCATTGCAGGGGATATGGGTTCCATCCCTGGTCAGGGAACTAGGATCTTGCATGCTCCACAGGGCAGCCAAAAAAACAAAACAAAACAAAAAAAGTTGAGGGAGAAGGGACAGGGGAGGGTGCTGCTTTTAAGGCAGTAGATCAGAGGTTCTTGGCCCAAGGATGGGTTTAGGGGCCTCAGGGCACCCTGAAATCACACCCAAATGGTGTGCATATGGGCATATTTCAGGGGAGAAGTTCTATAACTTTCATTAGATTCTGAAAGCAGTCCATGAACCAAAAAAGTTTGAGAAGCTCTGGCCTGAAATTTAACGTTTCCCTGACTCAGGCTTCCCACTGCCCAGTTACTCAGAACTGGTGAAGTGTTGCTGTGTTAGTCAAAGGCTGCAAGTGTGAAACATCAGATGCTCGTTACATGATGATGATGCAGAACTTTGCAGCTTAGCGAACCTCTTCCACCACTTCATGTAAGGCGTCTCGGTGCCAAACAGATGCCTGGGAAGATGATGTGATTAATGGCACTACTCTCTTTGTTCTTCCTCGCAGGGCCCAGGATGATGCTCTCAGTGGCAGGACTCACTGTCTGCTCCCTCCTGCAAATCGTCCTCTCCCTGAACCCCGAGGACCCCAACGTGTGCAGCCACTGGGAGAGGTAAGATGTGGATCTTGGATGGCCAGACACTCCCTGGGGGCTTCACCCTGGTCTTGGCACTGATGGGAAGCCATCCACCAAGGGCCTGAAGTCCAGCTGGGGACATAGCACAGATCCTGAAAGGCAGCCCAAACCCATATAGATTCTGTTTGAGACCATGGGGGTGGGGGTGAGGGTGGGGGCTCTGAGTGACAGGCAATGTAAATGAGGCAGTCTGGTCATTGACACTTTCTTTCCTGAATTCGCACTTCCAGCCACTTTAGAGATGAGGAAAAAGAGTTCCAGAGGGGTTCAGTGACCACCCCTATAAAGATGAGGAGAAGGGGCTGTGGTCCAGAGGTTTTGTTCTCCGAGGCTGCGGTGCCTTCCTGGTCTCCCAGGACCGGCGGCAGTGCAGCAGCTCGGACGTGTGGGGCGGCCAGCAGCCTGCCCCGGGAGGGTGGGTGAGTGGGCCCTGCAGCTTCCCATCTGGTGGGCTCACCGAGGAAGGGCAGCTGCATTCTGGCTGCGGCCCTGGGTCCAGGGGGAACGGGCCAGGGCCCTGTAGAGGACCTGACTTTGAAGCACAAGGTGAAAGTATTGATTTTGGTGAGCAGAAAGACAGTGACCAGAGACCCAATCAGGAAAAACCGAATTAAACCCTGAAATTGATTGGCCATGCTGACCAGGATGACTCTGCCACTTAGATGTTAATAAATCAAATGAATAAAATTAAGATGGGGACCCGATGGGGGAAGCGGGTGGTAGAGGAGGGCTGGTGAGTGGGGGAGGGGATCATGCTCCATGCCCGTGAGGGTGAATGTCCCAGCCCCACGGCAGGGGGGGACCTGGAGAGACTGGCTGAGGGGGCAGAGGGATGCTGTTGCCTCCAGTGACCAGGTGCTCTGTGAGGGTCCCCACAAAGTTGAGACTGGAGTGGAAAGGCTGGAGTGGAAGGGGGCTGCCCCTTTTTGGGGAAGTGGGAAGAACAGTGACGCAGTCAGTGATGAGATCTTGGTTCACGCTCATCTGGAGTTTTCCATCTGTTAGCCCTGTGACTTTTGGATGTCTCTGAACCACTCCCAGCCTACCTCTGTCTCTCTGAAATAGGAGGCAGAATTACCCCTGCCTTACAGGCTTGTTGGGTGATCAGGGTACCAGTTTCCTGAAAGGACTTTGAGGACCATGAAGTTCAATTATGTCTTTTCTTATTGACGACTCAGCTCTGCACAGACAGTTAACATAGATCCTACTGCACATCAGGCCCCCTGAAGAGCAGATGAAAAGCAGAGTCTCGTGGGTCCTCTCTGCCCAGACTCTGATCCCCTAGGTCTGGGGCAGAGCCTATGCAGATACAGTTTTATAAGCTTTCCACGTGACTCTGAGGGCATTCCAGGCCTTTTACCCCTCCCAGTTTGGGGGAATGTAAACCTTTTTTTTCCCCAGTGGGTGAAGGAGAAAGCAGCTACTTCCACATTAGTCTTTGGTTTGCAGACTTCAGTCTCAGCAGCCCCGTCTCATCCACCTTTCCCACCTGGGGTACCATTGCTTCCTGCTGATGTCTGTGCTATATCCTAGCTTCTGGAAGGCCTCCTTCCTGTCTGCTCACCTCTGCCTTCCCAGTGCCTCCAACCTCTCCTCCAGGAAGCCTTTCCTGATGGCAGAGCCCACCCTGACCTCCTCTTCTCTGAGCACATGTGTACCAGTGGGTCAGTTCAAATTTAAACCAAACTCTCTAATTTTCTAAATCTGCCCAACATGAACTCCTTTGGAATGTGAAAGTATTCTGATCCAAACCTGCACTGAGCAGGCATTACAGGCTGGGCGATCAGCTGAGTTACTGCTTTGATGGATGAACGAGGAGAGACTCCAGCAGCTAAAATGCGGTCAAGGGGCTCCCCAGCCCCAAGGCGGGAGACTGCAGTGAGGCCCGTGTCACCAGGCACCCCTTTCTTTGTGGTTCTTCCAATTGAGCTCCACTGACAGCTGTGCACAGATGAGTCTAGTCTGTGTCATTCCAGAAACACACCCTGTTCCCCGGAAACCACTTAGGGAGAGTTCCCCAGTTGGATTAGTGCTTCTGGCAGGCTCCTCCTTAATTATGCCCCTCCACCGTAAAACCCAGCAGAAAGACCTCCCCTGGCTAGTAAAGCCCAGCTCTACAAGATTAATCTGGCCCCTCATTAGCATGTTGGCAAATGAGCATGTTAAACCACCCAGCCATGAAGCCAGGGGCACACACTTCACCCAGAAACTTGGAGTTGGTTCAAGGTCTGGTTGTCTGACTTTCTCGGTGTAGGGCCCCCCCGGCAGAGCCGGGTCTGTCCCCCATGACACTCTCCCCACCACCTCTGTTGAGCTGATGCCCTTTCTCTGAGAACCTACTGTTCTTATCTGTGCTGGGAGGGACACCTGATCCCCTAGGTGGGGAGTCTGGTCAGTGTGTGGGTCTTGCTCCCCATTCCCTACTGTGGTTAGGGAGGAACTTTCCCTCAGCGCCCAGCAAGGAGGTGAGTCCCTGCCAGTCGTATGATGATGATGATGGCCAGCATCTATTAGGCACTGATGGTATGCCCATTAAGCTGTGTAATATCTTTTGTTGAGCATTTTACCTGTGTCATCTTGCTTTACCTTCTACCACCCTGAGAGATGCTGTCCTCGCCTCCCATAATCCTCGCAGCAGCTGTATGAAGTCCCTGGTAATACTTATCCTCAGTTTACAGGCATGGAAATGGAGGCTTATACCAGTATCATATCTACGGAGGCTTACGGATCATATCTAAGGATATATTGCTAACAAGTGACAGAGTTCAAACTTGACCCAGAGGCCCTGCAGCCTTATCCATTTGTCCTCCTGCCCCTAAGACTCAGCAGAGTTGCAGGAGCCCAGGGTCACAGACTTTCAGAGCTGGAAGGGGCTTTGGGATATCAGGGGCAAGTGACGAGCGCAGTTTCTCCAAGCATGGAGGTAAACGGGTCCGGGTCATTTCCGCATAGACGTGTGCCTCTGACACGCATCTCCAAGGTGCTGGCGTAGCGGCTCGGCAGGTGCCTCCTAACATCCTCCGTGCGGCAGAGAGAGAATTTCCCACCACCCCCAGTCCGTGTGCATCGCTGGCAGCTCCTGGCTTCCTCTTCCTGAGCTAGAGACCTTTGACATTTCTGGTGGCAGCGAGCCTTCTGGGGATCCACTCGAGGGGGCTGGCCTGCCCCAGCCCTCCTCCCTCAAGTAAACCGACAGTTTCCTCAGCACAGCAGACGGGCTTTTACAGCTGGGACCTGGCCATCTGGCCCAAGTCAGTGAGCCTTCTGGGGGAAAGCGCTGAATAATACCAACTGACACAAAATTAATTCCTGAACTCTCAGCTGAGGTCCTCTCTCCCTCTGCACAGAAAATGTGATCCTCACTTTCCACCCCAGTGTGACTACTTTCTCATAGCATTCCTGCCACTGTGGGCAGGTAGAAAGGCTTATGTTGGTAAAGCTGAGAGCTGCTTCCCAGTGGCTTCTACCCACTGGTCCAGTTTACAGCTAATAGGCAGGTAACAAGATGCCACTTTGATCAGGAGGTCTGGGGGCATGGCCTCGATGCATCCCCAGCTATACTAGAAACATAATAGAGCAGAGGGTACCTGGGTGACCTTGAGGAAGTCACTTAACCACTCTGATGCTGTTTTGTCATTTGTAAGATGAGGCTGACAACACCACTACCTACCTTATAAGATGAAGATTAAGAGGGCTTAAAACACTTAACATTGGACATTCAAATATGAGCAGTTACTGGTACCAGCTGTGTGACCTGGGCAAGCCACCTCTAAGCCTTTATTTCTTCATCTATAAAATGTGACCATGTATTTCATAACGTTGCAGCAAAGATCAGCTTCCATACATGCACTTTGAAAAGAAGATCTGAACAAGCATAAAGTATTTTAAAAATTGCTGGCTTTGGGCCTTCCAGCACCAAGTAGAATAAATGCAAACTTTTCTTCATTCATTTTCTGTTAAATGAACAAATGAATTAGAAGTTCAGAAGATGAGCTGAAAAGATGAGCTTCAAAAGACAGTAAGGGGTGTGTCCTGCATCTTACCTGAGGTCAGGAAGGTTTGAAACCTGAGAGTACCCAGGGCAGGAGGAGAATGGAGTCAGGCAGGGGAGGTTGGAGCCCTGGACACTTGCCTGAGGCCTGGCTCCCCCGGGAAGGGAGACCCCATCCTGAATATTAGCTCCACCTCCCAAGAACTGACCACAGCTTCCATCTCCTGTCTGGTTCTCAGCTATGCCGTGACTGTCCAAGAATCATACGCACACCCCTTTGATCAGATCTACTACACGCGCTGCACAGACATCCTCAACTGGTTCAAGTGTACCAGACACAGGTGAGTACCTCTCTCAGATAGTAGGTAGAGGGTGGGTGAGGGAAGGAGAGGCAACCCTCAGGCTCACCTTCCTACAAGTTGGTGAAAAGCCCGCCTAGCAGATGGAGTCAGTGCACGCCCTGCATCCCCTTGGTACCCTCCTGGTGTTCACCCAAGAGGTGCTGCTGAGGGCTTCTTTGTAGTCAGAGCAGCTCATGGGCAGGGCAGGTGGAAAGTGCTCAAGGTTGATTACCCTTGGGGGGCATCCCTCACCCAATAGCAGATGGGGAGTTAGTGGAAGAATATCTCAGCTTCCTTACCCTTAGGGGCAGAGGGGCCAACTCTGAGGCCTGTTCTGCAAAGATTCGTGGTCCTCAGGGGAATGGAACCCCAGGCGCCCACAGCAGTGAGCTGCTCAAAAGCACACTCTGAATGGCTGCCTTGACTTCCCTGTTTCATTTTTCCATACCCCTCCCAGTGCTTCCTGGGATCACCTCCTAGATAAACTGCGTGCTTTTGAATCCTTGTCTCAGGGTCTGCTTCTGGGGGAGAGCTAACCTCAGAAGGCTCCTGTTGGAGCAGATGTAGTCCCACCCAGGGGACCTGGCTTGGAGAACAGAGTGCAGGCTTGAGTCCAGGACCTCTTGGCGCCTTAGCCACGCTGCCCACGGGAAGAGCTCCATCTGAATGACTGCACATGGGAATCCTGCTCCCTTGCCTGCAGCCCTCCTGGAAATTATGCCGTGCTCTGATGGCACTGGGGAGGGAAAAGAGGAAGGAAGAGAGAACGTGTTTTGATGGATGACCCTGGGCAAGTCATTCTAGTTTGGGATTCCCCGTGGACTCAACAAATATGTAATGACCCTTGCACTACGTGGCTTCCCCGGTGACTCAGATGGTAAAGAATCTTCCTGCAATGCAGGAGACCTGGGTTCAATCCCTGAGTCAGGAAGATCCCCTGGAGAAGGAATTGGCTACCCACTCCAGTATTCTTGCCTGGAGAATCCCATGGACAGAGGAGCCTGGCGGGCCATTACATATTTGATGAGTCCACAGGGAATCCCAAATAGAATGACTTGCCCAGGGTCATCCAACAAAACACGTTCTCTCTTCCTTCCTCCATTCTCTCCCTAGTGCCATGGGGTTGCAAAGAGTTGGACAACACTGAGTGACTAACACTTGAACACCTGCCCTACATACCTGTAGGGTCCAGTGAGGTCAGGGATGTAAAAATACTTTGGAAAGAGCAGGTGAAAGTGGAGAAAACTGAGGGGTTAGTTACAGGCAAGGTAGCTTTGTTACTTAAGGGAGTGATAATTCAGCAGATGAAGGGTCAGTGAGAGAGAGGATGCCTGGTAGGCCTGTTTCCTAGTTGTTGGGCATCTGTGTTGCCTCCCAATTTCTTTTGCTTCCTCCTTGTGGGCCTGGTTGCTCTTTGATGTTATGTAGGAATCATGTTGGGAAGAAATATGGATAGTGAAACTTGCTCTGTGCTGAAAAGCCAAAGTCCTCATTTTCTTTGGGGGTTTTCCTAGTAACTTGCTGTGAAATATTGTGAAACATTGAACATAGATATAATAGCTGCTTTAAAATCCTTGTCTGCTAATTTTAACATCTGGGTCATCTGAGAGTTGGTCTTCATTGATTGCCTTTTCTTTTATAAAGGTACAATTTTCTAGTTTATGTGTCTAGTAATTTTGAATTGTATTCTTGGCATTACGAACAAAAGAGACTGAATTCTCTTATGTTCTCATATATTGTTGTTTCTGGTTGTTTAGCAGCTAATTAATTTGGCTGAACTCAGTTTCCAAACTCTGAAAGTTCAATATTTTCAGGTTTTTCTGGACCGTTTGTAACCTGCCCTCCACACATGCAATTCAAGGCCAGAATTTTGGGCAGAATTTTTTACAAAGAATATGAAACTTTCTCTTTGTGGTTCTCTCCTTTCTAGGGTTTTCTTTGCCACTTTCTAGTTACTTGGCTCACCCTCAGCTTGTCCTATGATTCTTCAAACCAGTTAAGGCTGTGTGTCCTCTATCTGAGTTTTAGCCACCTGGAATATTGTTGACCGGGACCTGCCCCTGGGCTCATCTTGTCCCGTGTCATTCCCTTCTTCCAAGTGTCTACTTCCCTCCAAAATCTGCCTTTGTTCTCTCTCTAGTGCTTTTTAGGTAGGTTGTTCTCCCCCCCGCCCCACCCCCAGATTGCATAGTTGTTTGCAGGAGGGTGGGTCTGATAGGAACTACTCAGCCATTACTGCATCCCCTTCACCTACCCTAATTTGCCAAGGTAGCTGCCTGTCGCCCTGGTCAAAGGCAGAGGCAGAAAGAGAAGTCCTGCTCCCTCTCTGACTCTCAAGCCCTGTGCCAGAGCCAGGTTTGCTCTGAGGAGCGGCTTTGTTGGGTACTTGGAGGCTGGAGCTGCCGTCCATCACCACTGGGGAAGGGTGAGTGAGCGGCTGCTTATTAAAATAGGCTGCATTTCTGGAACATGAATTATTTTGCTAAATTATTGAGTTGCTTTGCCGCTTTCCTGATGCCCTGGAGCATGCATGCTGACAGCTGCGCCATCAGTCTCCTTCAGTGTGGGATGTCTTGTTTGAACACAGTATCCATCTGATAGCAGCCTGGCCTCTGGCCCCTTCTGTCTCCTGTTTGCCACCCCAGCACCGGGAGTCAGCAAAGATGGGCAAGCAAGAAGCAGTGGGGGACCTCTCTCCTGGGAGGCTTTAACGATGCTGAGACTGCCTCTCCACTGGAAGGGCTTGGGGATAACCCTGTTTGGTGGGAGACAGGGACTGCATGACCTCTGAGTCAACCCTGAGTCATTCTTTATCTGGGAGGCTTGCACAACTCCTGAGATTGCCGGGAGCTGCCTTCCTGTGCTGGGGAAGCAGCTTTGCTTGGAGGCTGGCTTACCTTCCATTATGGGCTTTTGACAAAGTAGAATGACCTTAGTTTACGACATTCCCAAATATCACGGATTTCCCTGGAGTCCCACACTGTCATTTGTCATAAAGTGAGCACTGTAAGCACTGGGAGGGCTCGCCCAGCCCATACTGTCAGATTCCCTGCCCAAGTTAGCCTGACCCTCCACGTTAAAGTGGAATATGGGCATCTCCAGTGATGGGGTCCTTCTACTCTGCCCCCCGAGCAGGGGTCCCCAGGGTTGGCTCTCCTAGGGTGCTGGTGGAGAAATAAAAGAGCTCTGGCTTCAAGTCCCAAGGACTTGGGTTGAGTCTAACTTTGCCCTTGGGGAGTTATTTCCTTCCTCTGGTCTTTAATAACCACTTCAAATCTCCTCCGTTTTGACCTTGTGTGTGAGGAAGGGGCTTTGCCTGTCCACCCAGTTTTGACTCCCTCTTTGAGGACTCCTTGGCGGCTCAGTTGGTTAAGAACTTGCCTGTAATGCAGGAGATCTGGGTTCAATCCCTGGGTCAGGAAGATCTCCTGGAGAAGGAAATGGCTACCCACTCTAGTGTTCTTCCTGGAGAATCCCGTGGACAGAGGAGCCTGCCGGGCTACAGTCCATGGGGACACGACTGAGTGACTAACACTTTCACCTTTGGGCTCAGTCCTCACACCATCCCTTCCCTTGTCTTACTGCTTCACAGGGGCAATCCCATAAGCCGAGCAAGCCACCCAGCAGGGACTGGCTCAGGGCTCAGTTCCCACTGGGTTAAACCCAGGGGCTCTGAAATGAGAGTGACTTCGGTTTGAATCCTGGCTCTGAAACTTTTAGCTGTGTGACCTTCAGCAAGTCCTTAACTTCCCACTTTTCTCATCCATAAAACAAAGGGGGATTTTCATAAAACAGATTAAGAATAAAAACTCTAAGAAAGAAAAATAAACACATAAAAGGGGGCATAATAATGCTACTGTCTCAGAAAGAGACTGGAATGAGATTTTGCCTACAAGTGTGTCTGGCACAGGGCGAAGTCTCAACACCCATGTCAGCATCAGAACTGGAATCCAGGCCTCTGAGCTTCTGCTCTCTGGATCTTAGCTGCTTCTTCTGCAGAGCTGGTGTTGGTTCTGAGCCTTCCCAAGATGGCATGCAAAGCTCTCCCCCAGGTGGTGTTATTTTTGGTGTGAGCTAGATTGATCTGCTCTCTGGAACCCAGTCAGACTCGGGGAGTCCTTTGGATGACTTGGCTTCGGTTCTCCAGTTGGGTGGACCAATCCCCAAGGAGCCATGACCAGTCATGGTTGGGGTGGTGGCAGTTGGCATAGACACTCTTAGGGCCCAACTCCTGTCCAGGTCACCCCATGGGCTGTTCCAGCCCTGAGTCTGGAGGTTTTCAGGAGAAGCCTCCAGTTATCATCTACAATGTAACCCCCAAAGTATCTTCTACAGCCCTTCTAAATATCATTCTGAAGGGACTGGGGAAAAATCAGCAGGTATAGCAAACACTGCCGAGTCAGTAATACATCTGTCTCATGATGGCCCGGATCTCACCATCGATTTTTCTTTATTGTGTTCCTTCATATTCGAAGCTGCCATGCATTTTAAAGTCATTATTGAATGGCATCCTTGATATAGCTTAACACAAATATCATTCTAACAGGAGTGATTGATTTTCAATACTTTCAAGTGGCTTTCTCTCCCGTGCCTTAGGATCAGTTATAAGACGGCGTATCGGCGTGGGCTGCGGACGATGTACCGGCGGAGATCCCAATGTTGTCCTGGCTATTATGAGAATGGAGACTTCTGCATACGTACGTGGTGGGGGTGGGGTGGGGCTGTCATCCAGGCCCTGGGCAGTGACCTGAGGGCTCCAGAAGTCCTTGCCTGCTGCCCGCTCTGGGGTGATAATGGGTCTGGTGCAAACACCTTAGCACAAATTTGCCTATCAGATCAGCCTCCTAAAGAGGGTGGATGTGAGCACATCTGTTCCAGGCTTTGATGGGGTCAGGAGAGTAGTGAACTCTTCTGGAGTGGATGCCCTGAGGAGCAATGGGGAGGAAGTGCTGAGGCCTGGCACAGAGCAGGGAGGAAGGAAGAGCTGAGTGGATAAGTGGATGGAGACGTAGAGAGATGCATGGTTGGATGGATGGATGGATGGAGGAGAGGAAACAGGGAAGGTGAAATCCTTGGATGCAAGATTGTAGTACCTAGAAGGAGCATGGCAAGAATAAGACAGAAAGAGGCTGGTTCCAGTAATTGGGAGGATTTCCAAAAAGGACTGGGAAACATTGAAGAAAAGGTAGGTTCATGAAAGGTACCTGTCAACTCTTCCCCTCTTTGTCTACAGAAAACCGAAGCCTCGGTGTCCCCAGAGAGATGAGGGCTACGTTTCTGGCAGCTGCAGGCCTGTGGGTAGAGGGCACTATCTTGCAGTCGGGGACACCCAGGAGCCTGCAGATCTGGGTCCTGGGTTTGGTCTCAGCCTCATACGCATGTGGCTTTGGGCAAGTCACTCAACCTCTCTGGAAGGATGATTGTAGGGTCCTGTTGTCAGGCCCTAAAGGACTCTTTCCTACTCACCTCTGAACAATGGAGAGGGCCAGTATGGAACTTTCTACTAGGCATTAGGGGTTCCCTCCACTGAAGAAGAGTGTCAGAAAAGCTAGGAGCCCCCGGTTTAATGGCTGAGAGAAGAATCCTGCCCCAAAGCTTCTGCCTCTTAATTTGGAGAGTGAGTTTCCTTTTTAGTATTCTCCTTGCCCTTTGAGAGGGTAAACCAAGTTAGCACCAGACAGAGAATTTGGGCAGAGTGGGCATATTGATGTTGGGAATGAAATGACAATTTTCCCCTACTGATGTTACATCTCCCCTAAAGCTGAAGAAACTCGATCCTAATTGCATTATAGGAATGAATGAAAAATGCTCTCACAAATGGGTTCAATAATGATGGTTTTGCAAGAAAAGTACAAAGATACTCACCCAAAGCAAACCCCAAAAGGTTGCTCGCCAGGAGCAGGCCAGAGGACCGTGCTGGAACAAGGCCTAGGTCGACATTTCCCTTTCGAGAGGGCCACTGAGGGGACCCAGGTGTAAAAGTGAGATCAGGACCACGTCTTTACTGCTGCTGCTGGCTGCTCAAGCAGAGTGAGAATCAGGTGTGGGGTGGACATGGGACTCATTAAGCCCGAGCAGGATGGATGTGAGTGGCCCGTTGGCACTCAGGGCACAGCGAAATTATACAGGAATTTTGGTCATCAGCAAGGGCTCCAGGAATGGATGAGCACATCGCCTTTCTAAGTTCCATTAGTGGATGTCGGTACAGCTCTTGGAAGATGAAAATGGGGAGAAGCAGAGTGTCCTGGTTGCACAGGCTCAGCCTTGCTGACCAGGAAGGGCAGCTTATAGCCTCCCACCTTCTCCTTATGTAACAGCCAGAGACTGCCTGCTGCATCCGTGCCACAGGCCTGTCACATCCAGGAAGCCAAGCTCGAAAAGCCACTTTCAGGGCTGGAGGCTTTTCCTAGGAGGGCACCACAGAGTTTCAGCAGTGAGATGGGGTATTGCGCACGCTGGGTGATGGTTCCGAGGGGCAAGAGTCACACAGCTTGGGTTTGCATCTCAGCTCTGTCCCTCCCAGCATCTTCCTCTTTGTCCTCCTTATCATTGTCTTCAGCCTACACACCCCATGTCAGGCACCATTCCGATCACTTTGCATACATTAAGGCATCAACTCACAACAACCCTCTGGGGTAGCTACCCTTAGTTCTCCCATTTTACAGACGGAGCAACTGAGTCTCAGAGCCATTAAGAAACGTGACCAAGATCACAGAGCTAGAAAGTGATAGGATTTGACTCTGGGCTGCCTGGCTCGAGTCTTCTCTGAGCCACTCTGGACACGCTGCTTCTCTCCCTCAGAACCTCAGTGTCCACTCGTGCAAAACGGGAATAGTGATACATTCACCTCCAGGTACAGCACAGGGTAGGGGCTCATACATGTCACCTCCCCACTTCCTGGTTTTCGGTCTTAACATTTTTTTCAGTCTTGACCTTTAATTTCTCAGAAGTCCACTGATCCTCTCGCTGGGCAAATGCATACCACATAGATAAACCTATGTGCACACACAGCCCTTTGTACACAATTTCTGTGAGTTCATGGATCCCTTGAAACCTTTACGGGGTCCTCTGGACCACAGTGAAGAGTTTCTGCCATATGTTTGTGTTTATCCACTCCACTTATGTTTGTTGCTTCCTATTATGCAAATGCTGGGGAATGTAGACACCAAGGAGTGATGGTTGTTGCCTTGGGGAGCCTGCAGCCTGGTGGGAGGAGGCGGTCTGGTTCATGAATATGTGCAACAGAGCGTGGTCCGTGCTTTGACAGGCATCTCTGGAAAACAGGGTGTATAAAGGAGTTAAGAGGAGACGCTGTCTTTTTAGCCACACCCACTTGTTGAGCTTTAATGAGAAATCAGCTGCAGAAGAGGAACGCATCACAGGGTGTTTCAACACAGTACTTATTAAATGCCTACGTTATCCTGCTTTGTAAATATGTTAACTAATGGGGCCTGTTCAAGGGAAATGGGTTTGGACTAGTGAGAGAGAGAGAAAGAGAGAAATTTCCTTGGTGGTCCAGTGGTTAAGACACTGTGCTCCCAATGCAGGGGGCATGGGTTCAATCCCTGGTCAGGGAACTGAATTCCACAGGCCACAATTAAGGGTTTGCATGCCTGAACTAAAGATTCCGCACGCCACAACGAAAATCAAAGATCCCGTGTGCTGCAACTAAGACCCGGCACAGTCAAATATATAAATATAAATAAAAGAAAATATTATAAAAAAAATTGTGGAGGGTCATGGGAGTGAGGGAAGAGGTTCGTGAAGCAAGTGGACCCTGAGGTGAGGTTATAACAGTAAGTTTCTAGGGAAGAGTACAAAAATGATTGCAAACAAATATTATCTAGACTGAAAACGGCAGAATTTCACAGCCGGAAGGAAACTCTAAGATCATGGAAGTCAATCTTATCACAGTACAGATGGGACAGTAAGGTCCAGAGTGAGGAAGGGCCTCCTCCTGGGTTCCCAAATCACAACCGGGGCAGGGCTAGGACTTGAACCTGGGTCTACAGACTCGATCTAGATCCTTTGATGCTGCCAACTCTACCTACTTCAAGTTCATCCCCATATCTTCCTGGGGGCCAGTTCGGTGCTAGGGCACTTGTAATTTATGTGCTGATCGACACTGGGGGGATGGAGTGCAGAGAGGGATGTCCGTGGAGGTGATTTTAGGATGAACGGGAAACAAGGAATGTGGAGCAGGTTACAGGGCCGAGAGTTGCGAAGCACCACAGTCTGCGTGGCTTAAACAGCAAGTGTATTCTCTTTCCACTCTGGAGTTTGTGCGGGCTGTGTGTGCTCAGGCCCCCAGCCGTGTCTGACTCTTGGCAACCACACAGACTGTAGCCCCCCCAGGCTCCTCTGTCCATGAGATTTCCCAGGCAAAAACACTGGAGTGGGTTTCCGTGCCTTTCTCCAGGGGATCTTCCGGACCCAGGGATCGAATCTGTGTCTCTTGCATCTCCTGCATTGGCAGGCAGATTCGTCACCACTTTGCCACCTGGGAAGCTCATTCTGGAGGTTAGAAGTCCAAAATCAGGGCATCAGGGTGTCCATTCTGAAGGACCATCTGTGAGCAGAGATCTGTTCCAGGCCTCTCTCCTGGCTCCTGGGAGTTCCTGGGCTTGTGGCACCATAATTCTGTTCTTCACATGACTTTCTTCTCGTGCACGTCTCTAAATTTCCCCACTAAAGGACACTAGTCATACCGGATTAGGGCCCAGCCTGGTGACCTCATTTTAACCGGACTACCTCTGTGAGATCCAAATAAGGTCCCATTCTGTGTTGCCAGGAATCAGGACTTCAACAGATGGGTTTTAGCAGGACACGATTCAGCCCACGACAGGTGGGTGTTAGCCACTCCCAGGACTCTGTTCCTGCTTATTGTGATGGGAGGAAAGGGAGCAGGAACCAGCCAGTCCCCTATGGGCTTTGTCACCTTTCCACAAAGAGTGGAGGCCCCAAGTCTGGGAACTTGTGAGAGGAAGAAATAGTAGTGAGAGGGTGAAGGATGGGCCAGGATGCTGCGTGCTAGAGGAGAAGCTTGTAAACCTGAAAACCTCCAAGTTCACCAGAGTCCGGGGGGAACCCTTCTGATGCCCGAGTCTTTGGGACCCTGTACAAGAACATCACCTGTGCTCTGGGAAGGGGCAGGGGGATATTGACCTCCCTCCAAAACCATTTTCCTGGAGCCTGTTTCTTGGCAGGTGCTAGGAGAACACTTACTTGGGAGTGACAGCCTTAGCTGATTCTGCCACCAACTTGCTGTGTAATCTTGGGCAATTCCGTTTGCCTCTCTGCACCCATTGTGGCATAGGCTGGATTATGCCTGTGCGTGGATGGAGGAAAGATAAAAAAATAAATGAGTGTCCTAGAAAGCATAACACTTGGTACACATGCAGGTTGGCCTATTTTTCTCCTTTTTGTACCATTTCCTCTGGCCCAGAACTGCCATCCTCAACCCAGAGCTCTTGGCAGTCCTTCTAGAACCACCTGCACCAGAGCTACCCATCCCCTCCCATTATCTACAGAGACAGCTGAGTCCTGGCCACTCTTGGTTGTCCAGGTATCAAATATTTCCTGAAGATCATTGAGTACAAGCACATTTCCTTCTTTCTCCTTTCTTGCAAGATAGGGCAGTGGGCATTTTAGGAAGCTCTGTTCTTTGAAAATATTGGCCCATATCAGACTTGATGAG